CGAGTAGGTCAACAGTGAGGACTGTGGGGTCAAGGAAGAGAAAGTGGTCCGTGACAGAGCGAAGAGAGTCACGGAGGCGGGTGACTAAATAGTAGAGAGTGATGAACATCGGGGGCTGGTTCCTGACAAGGAACTCAGCGGGGGCGGCAGCGCGGTAGCGAGCGTCGCTAGCGCGAAGGTGGGTAACCAGGTCCTCGACTCTGGCAAAGGCGGACAACTCTGGGAACAGGTAGGGCAGTAGAAGACAGCCTAGAGCAGCAGTGGCAGGCGAGAAGTAGCGAGCGACGACAGCGTCGTACAGCGCCTGTGCTGTCCTGCGCTGTCCGAAGTGAGCGCATTCGGCTAATGGCAGGTGGTTGCGAATGGCTAAGCGGGCAGCAGCGTCGCGAGTAAGCCACTATGAGCGAGTCGCACTGTCAGCTGTGGCAGGAGGGGCGGGAGCAGCGCCAGACGTGTGGTCAAACAACGAAACGTTGTCCCTAGAGTCGCTCAGCAGGTAGAGCTGCAGGTCGTCGAGCCACGTGTCAAACTGAGTTGGTCTGCCCTCATGATTGATTGCGAGAACGCGAAGCGAAGCCATAGCGGTGCAGCACGCAGAGCGGGGAGAAGCAGGGCAGCGCAGAGCAGAGGGCAGGCAGCAGCAAGAGGCGGTGGGAGGGCCGCAAGGGGCGGCTAGCAGAGCAGCAGGGGTGGCTAGAGGGCCACCAGGAGCGGCGCGCGGGGCTGCAAGGGCAGCTCGCGAGCTGTAGGGTCGAGGGGCGGGCTGGAAGGGGCGGCTCGCGGGGCCTAGGGTCGACTGTCGGACCGGGGCCTAGGAGCGACGGGCCTAGGGGCGACGGGCCGGGGCCTAGGGGAGTCGGGCCAAGGCGCGTGGGCTAGGGGCGACGGGCCGGGCTAGGGGCGACGGGCCAACGGGCCGGGCTAGGGGCGACGGGCCGGCCTAGGGGCGACAGGCCTAAGGGCGCGGGCCTAGGGGCGACTGGCGACGGGCCGGGGCGTAGGGAAGTCGGGTGACGGGCCGGGGCTAGGGGCGACGGGTGCGGGCCTAGGGGGCGTCAGGCAATGGGCCGGGGCGTAGGGGCAGCAGTCGCGGGCGTAGGGGCGTCGGGCGACGGGCCGGGGCGCGTGGGCTAGGGGCGACGGGCCTACGGGCGGGGCTAGGGGCGACGGGCCAGCCTAGGGGCGACGGGCCTAGGGGCGCGGGCCTAGGGGCGACTGGCGACGGGCCGGGGCGTAGGGAAGTCGGGCGACGGGCCTGGGCTAGGGGCGACGGGCGCGGGGCGTAGGGGCATCAGTCGCGGGCGTAGGGGCGTCGGGCGACGGGCCGAGGCGCGTGGGCTAGGGGCGATGGGCCGGGCTAGGGGCGACGGGCCGGGCTAGGGGCGACGGGCCTACGGGCCGAGCTAGGGGCGACGGGCCGGCCTAGGGGCGACGGGCCGAGGGGCGACGGGCCTAGGGGCGACGGGCCGGGGGTTGAGCGACGGGCCTACGGTCGACGGGCGACGGGCCGGTCGTGGGCCGCGGGCCTAGGGGCGACGAGCCTAGGCGACGAGCCTAGGGGCGACGGGCCGGGACGACGGGCCTAGGGGCGACGGTCGAGCTAGGGGCGACGGGCCGGTCTAGGGGCGACGGGTCTAGGGGCGACGGGCCAAAGGGCGACACGAGGGTCGCTAGGGGCGGCTAGTGGGGCAGCGCAGTGCAGGGCCTCAGATATCAGGAAAAAAACCCTGAAATTCCTGATTTTGGCAGTCCTTTTTTTACCTACACTGAAAAATCAGTGTTGAGATTTTTGTGGGACTGTTCTTTCAGCCTTTTTGGTTAGGCCACACTGAAATTTCAGACTTTTTTTCGTAAGTACACTGATTCCACAACGTTGTAACGAAACTAACACTGAAACCAATTCTTACTTGTTCGGTGTGGATTTGCCCGCGATTACAGGGAATCACAGATTCCTGCGGTGCCAGTACTCCATTGGGCAGTTTCGCTCCAGCATAAAGCGTTGGCTAATCGGAATGTGGCAACCATGTGGTGCTTGAGGGCTGCGAGGGTTCCTACACCGTTGGCTGTGCTGGCAAGCATTGATGCTCCCATTCCCTCCAATCCAATCTCTCGTGTTACTTTTCCTCCTGTTTCTCTCTCCCTCCCTCTCAGCCTGATTCCTCTCGTGCTTTCTCATCTGCACTAATACATGGCGCCATCAGCACCAGAAACGGCGGGCTGTTGGGAATCGAACCCATCGCGAGCGCCGCCGAACCTCTTCTTGTCTCGCCGAACACATCGCTCCCGTTCGACGCGATCCGCAGCGCATGCTGCGAGATGGTCGTCGGCCACGTGGAAATTCCCGTCGGTGTTGTAGGCCCGCTACGACTCGACGACGCGTAGTTTTTCGTGATAATGGCGACGACTGAAGGCTGCCTCGTCGCCAGCGCGAACCGCGGTTGAAAGGTCATCTGCGCCGCGGGTGGTGCGCAGAGTGTCGTGCTGCGCGACGGCATGACCCGCGCATGACCCGCGCGCCCGCCGTCCATTCTCCCGCTCCCTTTACCCCGCACTCCGTCCACTCCCTCTCTCCCCTGGTCGTATCCCCCCCAACCGTGCTAGTCTTCCCTCCTCTCTCCCTCCTTTTCTCTCTTAACCTGCCTCACCCAGCCTGTCAATCCGGTTCCTCCCCCCAACCCTGCCCCTGCAGCTTCAACGTGTATGTGTCGCAAGCAGAAGTGAAGCCGGGGTGTGTGTGTCAAAAAGCACTATCACGTACTGGTGTCCCAAGCTGAGGAGGAGAGAGAAGAACCAAAGGCTAAGGGCAGTGATGATAGCACGGCTGGTGATGATTCATGAGGCATGTTAGCTTAGCAATGTTTCGGAAGGCTGCTACTGACTTACTACATAAAATAGAGATTCTAATTATAACAGCCTTTTATATTATTGAACGCTGATGCATCAACCTTTTTTCAAAGGCAACACTGATATTTCAGGCTTTTTTTTTTTTTAGCACTGTCAATTAGGGTTTCTACACAAGGGTACCCTGATGGGTCGACGACCCTAAAAGTGAATCTGAGGCCCTGGCGCAGTGGTGGGCCCAAGGAAAAAAATTGGTCCTAGCGGAGGACCTGCTCTGAAACCGTGTCAGAAGAATGAACGAGAATGAATGAACTAGCTAAGAGTTGGGTACAAGTACTAACCCTAGTTGGGTTGTACCCCTTATGGGCTACTGTTAGAATCTAGCTTGACTTAGGAACCATGGCTAGGGAGGATGCTAGCATGGATGTCGAGAGAGTTGAGTGTCGAGAGGAGAGTCGAGAAGGAGAAAAATGAGGAAAGTGTTTTCACTAGCAAGAGTTGGGATACAAATAGCAAACCCTAAATTGGGTTGTACTCACTACAGAGTACCCCACTGCAGGCTAGACAGCAAATACATACTGACAGCTACCCCACTGTAGCCTACACTACTGTAAGCACTATAACATTCTGACAATGCTGACTACCGTAAGCCCCCGGATAGAAGCGCAGGCCTCGGATAAGCGCCGGCGCTTATAAAAGGATGACGGCACTTATATCCGGTCCTCGATTATTAGCCCACCCCCTCAAAAAAGATGATTTATTATAAGCGCATGTTGTTTTTTCATTTGAAAACCTGACGAAATACAGAAACAAAATTCACATTATCAGGGAAACGAACTACAAACTCGATTTCCCACTCTGATCTCACCTTTTGCGCGTCTAGTCAGCATGTGCTGTCATTCTGTCAGTTTGAGTTGGCAGGGAATCACTCCCTGCCAAGATGCGCGAGAATCAGATCCGCGACCCCATATGTTTTCGACTCGATTACAATCGGCAGAACGAGATCTACAGTTTGGTGTAAAACAGATAGAAATTCTTTTTGCCATTTTATAAACGTCGGCGCTTATAAAATTCTTCGATTATAAGCGCACCCCCTAAAAAACAGTGTTTCTTTATACCCCCAGGAGCGCTTCTATCTGGGGGCTGACGGTACCTGTCAGTCACAATTGGGCATTACAGGAACTGTGACGCGTGGCAAAGATTGATGTGCGCGAAGCGAGAGTGGCAATAGGATTCCCCGTTTTGAGCCGTACTCGAATTCGGAAAAAAAAATATGAAATTCTTCAATACTGGTCTTTACAATCCATTTTTGTGTGATTTATAAATGTCCAGGGGTCTTATGCACTCTATGCCATCAGAGAAGACCCTACAACCCATTTCGAGCAAATTTAGGATAAGACCCCCGGGTCTTCTAGGCGGGAGATCACGGTTGATGAGAGCAATCTGCAATTGTGATGTGATTTGTTTGTGATAGGTTTCCTGGGAACGCATCCTAATCAGAGTCTCGGTCTCTAAGGCCTGGGAACTGCAGGGATTGCTTGGTGGTGGATACAGTGAACCAGTTGTTGAAGATGCCGAGTACAGTGTAGCTGCTTGTAATGGATGACACTTTAGCGAGGGAGAAGAACCAGCAGTCAGTGTACTCCACCTTCACCACCGCCCCCATCACCTGCCATCACACCACAGCCCACGCCCCATGAACATTATTGGTCCACTGCCCCAAGAAGCCTTTATGCCTCAAGGTATTTCCGTTTGAATACCCCCTAGCTGCTATGGACACGAATGATGGTATGATGAAATGTGGAGCATGGGTGATCAGTGTCAAACATGCAGCATGGATGAGCCCCCCTGCCCTGGTGGAACCACGAGAAGGTCACTGCCCTACACTGCCCTACACTGCCCTACACTGCCCTACACTGCCCTACACTGCCCTACACTGCCCTACAATGCCCTACACTGCCAAGTTTCTGGACTCTAGCATGTGAATAATGATCCCAGAGACTGCACATGGCATTATGAATGACATACGCTGGAGACTCAAACGTACGACGGACATCTACTACGCACTTCACACAAGATTTATGAACACTACATGGAGTTGTGGCATACGAGATGTTATACATCGGAATGAAATGAGAGGTTAAGAGGTTATGACGTACATGCGATGTGGCCCAGTCGAGGCCGTTCTTATCCTTGAGCTCCTCGCTTCTCTTCTGTGCAACATGCGTGCATCCATTCATGCGTGCATCCATTCATGCGTGCATCCATTCATGCGTGCATCCATTCATGCGTGCATCCATTCATGCGTGCATCCATTCATGCGTGCATCCATTCATGCGTGCATCCATTCATGCGTGCATCCATTCATGCGTGCATCCATTCATGCGTGCATCCATTCATGCGTGCATCCATTCACGCACGCATTGTCATCGACAGATCACGCAATCATGCACAGATTGTCCCACACATTCTACCCATTCTCACACATTCTACCCATTCTCACACATTCTACCCATTCTCACACATTCTACCCATTCTCACACATTCTACCCATTCTCACACATTCTACCCATTCTCACACATTCTACCCATTCTCACACATTCTACCCATTCTCACACATTCTACCCATTCTCACACATTCTACCCATTCTCACACATTCTACCCATCCTCACACATTCTACCCATTCTCACACATTCTACCCATTCTCACACATTCTACCCATTCTCACACATTCTACCCATTCTCACACATTCTACCCATTCTCACACATTCTACCCATTCTCACACATTCTACCCATTCTCACACATTCTACCCATTCTCACACATTCTACCCATTCTCACACATTCTACCCATTCTCACACATTCTACCCATTCTCACACATTTAAGTTGTGGTTCGACAGCAAAGACATCATGCACACATGTATAAACCCACACATGTATAAACCCACACATGTATAAACCCACACATGTATAAACCCACACATGTACAAACCCACACATGTATAAACCCACACATGTATAAACCCACACATGTATAAACGCACACATGTATAAACGCACACATGTATAAACCCACACATGTATAAACCCACACATGTATAAACCCACACATGTATAAACCCACACATGTATAAACCCACACATGTATAAACCCACACATGTATAAACCCACACATGTATAAACCCACACATGCAACGATGCATCATGCATGCAGCACTGTCTTCATCCCACACGGAAGCATGTGGCATACAATCATGAGTAGCTCTGGAAAGCAGCTCTGGAAAGCTGAGCACATGAAGCACAGCGCACAGCAGATGTGACGCAACGGAGGGCAAGGTGCTCCTTTGACACATGATTCATCTCGCCACTGCACTCGCCACTGCACCCTACCTCACCTGCCCCGCATCCCACCTGCCCCGCATCCCACCTGCCCTGCCCCACACCTCACCTGCTCGAGCCAGTCATGTAGGCTGTGCTCATCAGGTCGCAACCCCCAGCACAGCAGAGCGAGGTTGAGGGTTGCCACGGCGGGCTCGTCTTGAAGCGCAAAGAGGGACGCCAGCAGCACCAGCAGCGGCCAAACCTGCGCCACCAGCACCCTCAGGAGGGCCAGCAGCGAGGTGACGTCATCGTCGCCGTCGTTACTGTTGCTGAGAGGGGGTGGGGTTTGGGGAGCTGCGTGGGAGGGGGAGAGTGAGGAGGGGAGGGGAGGGATATGAAGAGGGACGTGGGAGGGTCAGAGGGTGAAGTGAAGAGCAGTGGGAGCGGAGCGGTGAGCAAGGGGAGGTGGTAAGGGCGAGACGGGCGTGGTGATGGCAGCATGGGCACTGCTGCTGCCGATGTGCGGCGCGATGCTCCGTGTGGGAGAAGAGAGGGAAAGCGGTGCAGGAGATGGTCGCGAGTGAGGAGGAGTGGACAGAGGGGAAACGAATAGCCGCAGGGAAAGGCAGAGCAGTGAGGGTGGGGGAATGAAGGGTGGGGGATGAGGATGGAATGGATGGAGATAGGGGGATTGAGGGTAGGTAGGGGGCATGAGGGCGAGGTTCAGGGAACTGAAAGGAAGAGCAGGGTGGCGATGGATGGAGGGAATGGAGAGGTGGGGTGGAAGGAAAAGGGTGTAAAGAACATCATCCCGCTGTCAGTACTGATGTTGGCACGCACCACCTGACACGGTGGCGCCCGCCCATGCACCCCCGCCTCTTTCAGCCCCTTGCCTTGCCAATACCCTTGCCTTGCCAATACCCTTACCTTGCCAATACCTTGCTTTCACCACAACCAAGACCTGCACCGTCCTCTCGCTCACCACCATCCCCTCCTCCTCCCATCACCATTCCACCCTCCTCTCACCACCCCCCTCTCCCCTCCCCACCTCTCATCTCATCACCACCATCCGCCCCACTTCTCACCACCATCCCCCCCTCCTCTCACCACCATCCCCCCCTCCTCTCACCACCATCCCCCCCTCTTCTCACCACCATTCCCACCTCCTCTCACCACCATTCCCCCCCCCCACGTCTCATCACCATCCACCACTCCCCCCACCACCATCCCCCTGACCTCTCACCGTCAGTGCAAGCAGCCGCCTTGGAGGGCAGCAGGGCAGCAGAGGCCGCTGCCGCGCACTGCACTGCCAGGGGCAGGGGAAGGGGAATAGGGTTTGGGTGCAAGTGCAACAAGCATTGATGTCATATGACAAGAAAGCTAATATGGATGTGAAAACTAGTGATTTAATATCAACAAGGATGTAACACAAGAGTGGAATGAGAAAGTGCAACCGCAAAGAAGCATGGTGTGACGTCATGCTGTCGCGAGGAACGAGAGCGATGCAGTGAGTGAAGCAAACGAAGGGTGGAATTGAGGAGGAAAGGGAGGTAGGGAGAAACGAGCAACATGCTTGAGACATGAGAGGAGGTCCAAGGCACGAGAGGAGGTCCAAGGCACGAGAGGAGGTCCAAGGCACGAGAGGAGGTCCAAGGCACGAGAGGAGGTCCAAGGCACGCCAAGATCATGTCGTTTGCATGCAGCATGTGACTGATGGAGAACGTACCGCCAAGAGAAACCCCCTTCCACAAAGCAGGGGCAGCCAATGAGCCGCTGCCACGTGGCAGAAACGGATCCGATGGCAGTCTGGGATTCGCCAGCGCGCGGCCCCGAAGGCATGTGAGGGTGAGCGCCCGAATCTGCTGCCTTATGCCACCTGCCAAACCGCCGGGCGCTTGCCACTTGGAAATGTTGGGAGCAGCGATGTTACAACCCTTGGGAATGGCGGTAATACGGTGGAGGGGAGCGAAGAGCGAGTGGGAGGATTGCAGCCGTGATTGTGGTGGGTGCCGTGGTAGCGAACGCAGCAGGGGCAGAGGCAGTGGCGGCGGTGATGGTGAGGGTCGCAGCGGTGCAGCGCGGATGGTGGACGATAGAGAGCCCGCCTGCACGGTAACAGCACACACCGGAGTGCACGAGTGCGGTTGTTTCATTGCCACGTGCGCTCATTCATGCATGCATGTGCAGGGAGCAAGACGCACGCAAGTTGCATATGTTACGGAAACGCGGAGACCAGGGCGAGGAGGGGAGGCGAGGAGGGAGAGCGGAGGGAGGGGGAAGAGGAAGAGACGAGGCGGAGAAAGCGGATATTGCGGCGAGGAAAGGAGAGAAGACGAGTAGCGGCGAAGTGGAGAGTTAGGTTGGGAAGGGCAGCGAACCCGGGGAGGGCACGTGGCAGAGAAGTCGGGCGTCGCACCAGCTGGTGGAGCGAGCGCGACAGCGCGCGACGCGCGCTCATCGTGGCGCTGCGCGACGATCCTGCGGCGCAAACCTCGGTGCTAAGGCGGAAGGAGCGGACTCGTTGGGTTGTTGTGGGGGAGCAGGAAACAGAAATGCATGTTGAGGCTCCCAGTCTAATGCGCTCGCTAAAGTTTCATCGAGTACACACTTGAGTCAGTCAGCAATTCCTTATTATTATGGTACATCTGCCACCGAGCAAACCTTGGCACAAGATGACGTCCAATTCGGGTCATGGGGTAAATTTGATGTTGGCTTTCCCACAGCATGTGTTACATCTTCGTATTCAAGAAAAAACACTGTTTAGGATATTATAAGGACGTGCCATCTCTGTTGTTCACCCTGAGCATTTTCTCATTATTTCACAGAAAACCACCTGGCCTTCTAGCCAGGAGATCACTATATCGCAGCGAAACATGCCCATCCACATGCTAGTCAGTAGGCAAAATGCCAACCCTCCCTCTCGCTGAATCTGTCTATGATCACAAACCAGGTGAACCTGCCTCCTCCCCCTCTTGCCGCCGCTCTTCCTGCCACTGTTGCTGCTCCTGCCCCCCTTGCTCCCCCCATCGCCGCCTCCCCCACCGCTGCCCCTCCCCTCGCTCCTCCCTCCACCGCTGCCCCCCCTCTCGCTGTCCCCCCCCTTGCATGCGGGCAGCAAGGCGGGGATCGGCCACGGAGGGCGGCAGCTGTGCCAGGTTCTGGCGGCGGCGGCGCTCGTCGGCGTTGACGGTGCGGAAGCGCAGCGCCTGCAGCAGGCCCTCTGCTCGCGCCACTCCCTCCGCCAGCCCGGAGCACAGGCAGCGCCGCCGCAGGCGCAGCAGCAGCGGGCGTGATGGTGTGAAGCCCGCCTCCACCTTAGAGCAGAGGGGGTGGACGGAGGAGAGTATATGGGGCAGGCGGGGGGAAGAGGGAGGGAGAGGGGGAGGGCGGGGATAGGGGATGGTGAGGGGAAGGGCGGGGGATGGGGGGAGGAGAGGGGGAGGGCAGGGGTTGGAGAAGGAAAGGGGGAGGGAAGGGGAGGAGAGACGCTGCAGCTCATGAGCTGCTGCTGTGCTCCATGCACCCCTGAAGCCCTGATCACAAGCAGTGCCCGTGCAGGTGCAGCAGGAGAGAGCCGACGGACACAACGGGCGGAGAACGAGAGACGGGGTGAAAGGGAGATGGTGATTTGAACATGCGACGCGCAGTGGAGACGATGAGGAAAGGAGGCTTGCATAACTTGAAAGAAATTTAGTAGGAGAAGAGAGCACGCCTCACCATCTTATCCATGGCGATGCACTCACCATCTTATCCATGGCGATGCACTCACCATCTTATCCATGGCGATGCATGCCCCCGGGGCATGGAAGGCGCGGATGTGGGCGTCCACGAGGATGGTGAAGGAGTCGGCGGAGGGCGGCAGGTGCAGTGTGCGCGTCATGTGCTCAAACAGCTGGACCACCGTGCGCACCTGGGGGTGGCAAGGGCGAGAGAGAGAGAGAGAGAGAGAGAGAGAGAGAGGCAGGGGCAGAGGGAGAGAGCTGTTAGAGGCGGGAAGGAAGAGGGAGAGAGTTTTTAGAGAGATTAAGCAAGTCACGTGTCCCAGCAGCTGCACCGCTGCATGCGACCTCACCTGTCGATGCACATCAGGCACACCGCCATTGCACTCCACGTGGGCAGCACATGAGAGCAAGCTCAGGTTCAGGCAGCCATGTGCCCCCTCCCCTCCACACCCGTTGTGCTTGCCTGTGAGTGGACTCACGTGTGTGTGCCTTTAAGTTCACGAGACAAACGCAACAGGGCACAACTCACATCAGCCACGCCCGAGTAGCAGTCCATGAGGGCGTTGAAGGAGTGCGTGTCGGGCTGCAACTGGAAGGTGCGAGTGATCTCATCGAAGGTGAGCTGTGCGCGCCCCACGTCGCGCTGCATGGCACACCCCGCCACCACACAGTTGAGCGCCGCCAGTGCCACCACCTCGCCCTGCGCGTGCATGCTCTCCAACGTGCTGTAGCCCTGGTGGTGCCGTGGGAAGGGGGGAGGGGGAGAGGGGAGGGGAGGAGAGGAGGGGAGGAAAGAGGCGCCACAGAAGTTGAGTGCTGCCAGCGCCGCCTCGCCCTGCCCGTGCATGCTCTCCAACGTGCTGTAGCCCTGCTGGTGGGGGTGGGCGGAAGGGGGCGAAGGTGGTAAAGGGGAGAAGAAGAGAGTTGAGGGGGTGGAGACGAGGGGGGAGCATGGAGAGGTATGGCTACCGCACACACCTCCCTCTGCATGGCACAGCACTGCTGTATGCACGGGTTGCCGGTCAGGTGGAGCGCACCACGACCCTGAAAGCAACCCCAAGTAAACACCACAACCTTTTCCCATTTCGACACCCCAACTCTCGTCCCCCTATTGCCCCCCAGCGCTCCCCCCCATCCACTCCCCAAGCAGTGCTCTCCGCACGCACTTTCCATCCCCTCCCTCCCGTTAACCACATTCCCCCCAGCTACCCCTGCTGCCCCAGCTAGCTACCCCCCACCTCCCCCCACCTCCCTTCAGCGCAGCCCCATTTGCCTGTGGCTCACCTCACCGCACGTCCACAGCGACTTTCAGTCGTCTCAAAGTCGTCTCGAAAATCGTCTCGAAAATCGTCTCACCAGCGGGCCCCCCAGTGTGCCCCCCATGGCTCACCTTATCGAGCACATCCACATTAGAGCACAGCGCCAGCGTCAGCGGCCGCAGCGACGTGAACGGGTTCAGCTCCTCCAATGGCGCACCGCCACCTGTCAACCCCCCCTCTCCCCCCGCCAGCCCCTCCCCCTCACCCCCTGCACCCGCAGCACCAGCCGCTCCCGGCAGCGGCAGCGTGTAGCGGAAGCAATCATCCTCGGGAGCGCCGGGAGCACCGGGGCGGAACTTGGGAAAGATGTCATAGGGGCGGAGGTCCGTGGGGCGCGCGAGCGTGGGGTGCAGCAGGAAGTCTTGCAGGTGCAGCGCGGCGCGGAAGGCGCAGGAGAACTTGGGCGCGGTGCTGTAGGCGTGGATGCGCGCTAGGTGGAAGGCGGGGGAGGGGGGGTGGGGGAGACGCACGAGGCGGTCCCACACGTGCTCCATGATGTTGGTGTCGCCCAGCCTGGCCGCCATGTTGGCCACGTGTAGCATCAGCCCGTCGTGCACGTACTCCCCTTGCTCCTGCATCAGCTGGTGGGAGGGGGGCGAGGGACGGGGGAGAGAGGCGGGGGAGACTGGGGCGGGTGAGAGTGGGATGGGGAGAGCGCAATGAGAAGAGGGGATGCGAGAAGGAGGGTGAAAGAACTGCCGGGTGAGGAGGGGGAGGAGGAGGAGGAGGAGGAGGAGGAGGAGGAGGAGGAGGAGGAGGAGGAGGAGGAGGAGGAGGAGGAGGAGGAGGTGGTGGTGGTGGTCGCACCTGCAGGGCAAGAGTAGCGCACCTGCAGGGCAAGAGTAGCGCACCTGCAGGGCAAGAGTAGCGCAGTCATAGTCCTCCGCGTCGACCGCCGTCATGAGCGCATGCTCCATGGCCCTGCCCTCCACCTGTATCTTGTGCGCCTGCCATGCATTGCGGGCGGGGGACGGAAGGCGCTTGGAGAGGACGGGCAGGGAAGGGGCGGCGAGGTGGGGGAGGAGGGAGTGCGTGGCGAGGGAGCGTGGCGTTGAGTGCCAATACATGGGTGGTGCAACCGCAAGGGCACCATGCTGCCGTGAGACTGCCATGGTGGGCAGGGGAGCGATGTGCATGGCACCGCACACACAGGGCAGAGGGCAGAGGGCAGAGGGCAGAGGCACATGCGTGCAGCAGCACCCTCCCCTGTGCAGAGCGCACCTTGGCCACCTCGAGCACAGCCATGGCATCACGGGAGCGCCGTGTGTGCAGGCACGTGGCGAGCAGCTCCGCCACGGCCCGGGGGGAGGGCACCATGCGCGCCCTCCGCATGTCCGCCACGAGCTGCAACGCCGCCTGCATGCGGCGCTCCTTGGCACACAGCACTATGGCCTCGCTGTAGCTGCCCGCCTTTGGTGCCACCCTCGCCGCTCCCATCCTGCCACCAGAGGTGGGAGGGGAAGTGGAGGGGGAGGGTGGGAGGAATGGGGGGGATGGGAGGGAGGGGAGGGGCGTGAGAGGAGAGCAGGTGGGGAATGCGTGCGGGTGGGGGGGGGGGAGGGGCATCGCAGGAGGGGTGGCAGGGAAGGCGGGGCGGGAGCGGTTGGCAGGGAGGGCGGGGAGGGGGTTGCAGGAGGGCTGCGGCAGGGCATGCTGGGAACAGCGGGTGCTGCAGCGAGCGGTGTCTCAAAGTCAACCCAAACCACCAAACCCCAAACCCCCTTCGCCACGAGGAGTATGCACAATGCAGCATGCGGATGCACCCCAAAACCCCGCGTGCCCTCAACCCCCAAACCCCAACCCCAATGCCCACTGCACACAATATCTCTTTCCCCCACTCCCCCCTCCCAGCGCATGTCACGCCCCCACCCACGCGCTCACGGCCCCACACCCCCACGACACCCTGACGCCCCGACGCACTGGGAGAGGAAGAGCAGCACGGAGTTGGCGTCGCGGCGGGCGAGGGCGGTCTGCAGCAGCACGTGGTACGTCTCCTCTGACGCTTGCACGCCCTGCCCGCGCATCTCCCTCATCGCGCGCACCACACCCTGCACCGCCTGCACAGGTGGCCCCACGTGCATCAGCGCGTGCAGGTACAGCTGCCACGTCATCAACGGCAGCTGTTCCTCTCGCTCCTTCCTTAGCTGCGCCTCGAATTCGTGATTCCACCATTCTGGCCTTTCCGCCTTCTCTGCCGCGGCCCCAGCCTCCCCGGCTGCCTCCGCGCCAGCAGCCGGCGCAGGAGCGCCCCCTGCCTCGGTTGCGCCTCCCCCTGCGCCCGCGCTCTTGTCCTTGCGTATCCACGCGCGGAAGAGCGCAACCGATTCGCGGAAGCGCGCGCTCCTGGCGAGCTTCTCCTGCGCCTCGTACAGCTCCGCCAGTGTCGCCAGCCCCGCCGCCTGCTGCGCTGCCGCGTCCGCCTCCGCCTGTCCTCCCGCGCCCATCGCGCGGCCATCCGCGCTTCCCTCGCCGTCGCTGCTCCGCGCCGCATCCGATGATCCCTGCGCGCTCGCATCAATGTCCGCCATGGCGCTATCATCCGACGCGCTATCGTCATCATCGCTTTCGTGCGACTGTGCGACATTGTCAGCACCTGAACCCAGCATCTCGGGGTGAGACGAAGCACCTCCCCTGAATACTGCCGCCCCGCCCTCCTCTCCCTTCCCATCGATGCTAACCGTCGATCCAGGATCTATTCCAGCCGTTGATCGGGAGAAAATGCTAGCCGTTGATCCCGCTGCTCTGCACCCGCTGAATCTGCGCTGAGATGAACATGGTGACGTCAGCGAGATCTGGCGAAGGAGCGAGCGAGGCAAGACATTGGTGAGGATATGGTGGTAACCATTGCAACCTGGACGGACGGCTAGGGGATGACGAGATCCAGCCGATCCCGGATGGGCGGCTGTGGAAGCATGAGCGACCGCGAAGCGCGATTGGATGTGGGCTACGAGCGGGGAAGAAACGAAGGCAGCGGATGAGACCCGAGCGGCGGGAGCGGCGGTCGGGTGGGAGTGCGAATGCTCCGACAGGACCGATCGAGATTGTTCGGTCGCCGTCTGCTCCGGCGGGGAAGCAGCGGTCGTCAACGAGCAGCGAGCAGGATCTACTCGCCACAACTCACGCCGATCGAACGCGGCGAAGGGATCGGATGCAACGAGGAGCGGCGCTGCCGCACCGGCGAGAGTGGCGCCGCACGACGACGCGCACGCCGCCACGGCCGTGGGCACGCTGGCCAACGCGGATCGCGACGCCATGCGGAAGCCACTGCGAGCGAGCAAAAAACGACAGGGTGGAGAGGAGGAGGCGAGAGTTCTTTTCTTATGCCAGGAGTGCGAGAAGGGGCAATTGAAGCACGAGTCGCACGAGAGGTATAGAAAAGAAATGGCCCATGCAGGCTTCGCGTTATTAGCACGACCCTCTAACCACTCTTAATGAACAAAGTTTAGTTACAATATGTACAATGATGTGGCCAGGGCCTATTTTATCAGGGTAAAATACCCTTTTTGCCCTTACGGTAGGCCGTTTTTTCCCAGTTACCCTTTACCCTTCGCGGCCCGAAGCCGCCGCGTCGCGGCCCGTCCCGTCGCCCCGTCGCCCGGTGCCCCGTCGCCTCGGCCCGGCCCAGCCGTCGCCCCGTCGCCTGGCGCTGCCCCGTCGCTCGTCGCGGCGCCTGGCCCTGCCCCGTCGCTCGTCGCGGCCCGGCCTTGGCCCTGCCCCGGCCCTCCCCCGGCCCTGTCGCGGCCCTGTTCCGGACCTGACGCAGCCCTGCCCCGACCCTGTCGCAGCCCTCTCCCGGACCTGTCGCGGCCCTCTCCCGGTCCTGTCGCGGCCCTCCCCCGGCCCTATTGCGGCCCTGTAGCGGCTCTGCCCCGGCCCTGCCCCGGCCCTGCCCCGACCCTGCCCCGGCGCTGCCCCGGCCCTGCCCTGGCCCTGCCCCGGCCCTGCCCCGACCCTGCCCCGGCGCTGCCCCGGACCTGTCGCAACCCTGCCCCGGTCCTGTTGCAGCCCTGCCCCGGTCCTCCCCCGGACCTGTCGCAGCCCTGCCCCGGAGCTGTTGCGGCCCTGCCCCGGCCCTCCCCCGGCCCTGCCCCAGCCCCGCCCCTGGTAAGCGCACTGCCGAGCCGCGCTGCCGAGCCGCGCCGCGCCGCCGAGCCGCGCTGCCGAGCCGCGCCGCGCCGCCGAGTCGCACTGCCGAGCCGGCCCGCCCTGCCGAGCCGCGCTGCCTTGCCTAGCCGCGCCACTTAGCCGAGTCGCGCTGCTACTACTGCTACTGCTGCTACCACTGTTTTGCACTGCTGCTGCTCCTACTGCTCCTATAGCTAGTCCTACCATTCTCACCTTTGATGCTGAGGGACGTGCAGTTGGCTTTGACGTGTGGGTTGACGATCTACAGCTCTTTCTTCAGTGTGATTCTAGGGATGGGGTATCTCTTTCGATCACACGTCCGGTGTTTCCACTGCTCCTGCTGCCACTGCTGACAGTATTGTTCGCTCTCAGTGGACCACTCGTGACGCTGTTGCTCGTCTTGCTATTCGTAGTCACCTGCCGCCAGCTGAGCGCGCACACTTTGGCCAGTACAAGACTGCCCAGTCTTTGTACGACGCTGTAGTTGCACGCTACTCCTCCCCATCCACTGCTGCCCTCAGCCGCCTCATGCTACCGTACCTTTTCCCTGACCTTGCCGCCTTTGCCACAGTCGCTGACCTAGTTGCTCACCTTCGCACTAGTGACGCCCGCTACCGTGCTGCCCTTCCCACTGAGTTCTGTGCCAAGAACCCCCCCCCCATGTACATCACCCTTTACTACCTAGTCACCCGCCTCCCTGACTCACTTTCCTCAGTCAGGGATCACTTTTTCTCCCTTTGCCCCACCGAGCTGACTGTCGACCTGCTAGAGGAGCGCCTTACTGCAGCTGAGAAGAGTATCTTAGCTGTAGGTGCTTCTCGTGGCGACCGTCGCACCCCTTTCTTTGAGTGTTCCCCTGTCCCCCTTCTCCCCTCTGTTGCTTCTGCTGCTGCTGTCGACCTCGTTGGCACTGAGGAGGTTGGAGCTGCGTCCGCCCCTAGTGGGAGACGCCGCAACAGCAAGGGCAAGGGGAGCAGAGGTGGTGGAGGGGGCGGCGGGGGGGGTGGTGGAGGAGGAGGAGGGGGTGGCGGTGGAGGTGGGGGTAGCACCGGGAGTGGGGGCTTCAGTGGTAGCAGTGGAGGTGGTGGAGGCAGCGTCGGAGGTGGTGGAGGCAGCGGCAGCGGTGGTGGAGGTGGCGGCGGCGGTGGTGCTGGTCGAGGTGCAGCCGCGCAGCGTGGAGGCTCTGGTGGTAGCTAGCGCTAGCAGCAGCTGCGCTCCCGTGAGACCCCGTCGGCCCAGCAGCTTCGTGAGTGGTACGCTGGGCGTGGGAGGTCTGGGGGTGCTGGTCCCTGCTCTTACGTTATTCGCACCGGCACTCGTAGTGGGGAGGTGTGTGGTCTCCCACACACCACGCAGCGCTGCTTCGGTCGCTTGACTGACGCTTGGCGTGCCCAGTTTCCTGACGCAGTTGAGCTCCCTCACTGGCATGATCTGCTTCTGCAGAATGTGCCTATCTTTGATCTAGACTTTGATGCTATCCTTGCTGCCATGTATGCTCTTGCTGATATTACTGAGGGTGACTGTTACCTGAGTGTCCCGCCCGACCCGGGCACTGCGGCTCCTACTCTAGGTGCTAGTGTGGCTGCTGCTCTAGGTGCTAGTGCGTCTGCTGCTCCAGGTACTTGTGCGTCTGCTGCTCCAGGTACTTGTGCGTCTGCTGCTCCAGGTGCTGGTACGTCTCCTCTCTCTGGTACTGCACCTACTGAGTCCTTGCACACTTTCACACTTGACTCTGGTGCTTCGCGCTCTTTCTTTAGAGACAGCACCACGCTCACGCCGCTCAGTCGGCCTGTTGCGGTCTCCCTTGCTGACCCCTCAGGGGGCCCAGTCCTTGCACACTCCTCCACGGTTCTACCGTGTCCTGCGGCCCCTTCGGGCTTGCTGTCGGGACTCCACCTCCCCTCGTTCTCTACGAACTTGGTGAGTGGAGCTGACCTCCAGGACGCGTGGGTTGACCAGTTCACCCCTGGATGTCAGCGTGTGACCCACTGCACTTGCTCTCGGACGGGCCGCCACCTGGCCACGTTCACCCGTCGGCCAGGGTCGAGTCTGTACACACTGACTACTGCGCCTCCTCCGGCCTCTGCGTCTGGTCAGGTAGCTGCGTCCAGTCAGGTGTTTGCTGCCACATCCAGGTCTAGTCCTGCGTCTGCCCCCTGCTCGTGTCGTCCTCTGGCACACGAGACTCTCCTGTGGCACCACCGCCTTGGTCACCCCTCCCTGCCTCGTCTTCGAGGTATGGCCTCCCGTGCCCTTGTCTCGGGTTTACCCAGGTCCCTCCCTCCCCTTACTCCGGGGCCTGCCCCCACCTGTGTTCCTTGTGTCGAGGGCCGACAGCGCGCTGCCCCTCACTCCTCCTCGTTCCCTCCGACTGAGGCTCCTTTGCAGACTCTTCACATGGGTGTGTGAGGCCCAGCCCGCGTCCGTGGACAGGGTCACGAGCGCTACTTCCTCCTGGTCGTTGACGACTACTCGCGTTACACCACAGTCTTCCCCTTGCGCAGCAAGGGTGAGGTCCCTGAGGTGTTGATCGACTGGATTCGCGGTGCTCGTCGCCAGCTCAGTGAGAGTTTCGGCTCAGACCTTCCTGTTATGCGTCTGCACTCGGACAGAGGTGGGGAGTTTTCCTCCGACCTCCTGAGAGCCTTCTGTCGTTCGGAGGGCATCCGCCAGACGTTCACGCTTCCGGCCTCCCCACAGCAAAATGGGATTGCTGAGCGCCTCATTGGCATGGTCATGGATGTCGCTCGTACGTCCATGATCCATGCGGCTGCTCCCCATTTTCTGTGGCCGTTCGCGGTTCAGTACGCTGCGCATCAGATCAACCTTCAGCCTCGTGTCTCCTTGCCGGAGACCACACCTACTCTGCGGTGGACGGGGAAGGTTGGTGATGCGTCCGCGTTCCGTGTCTGGGGATCTCTAGCTTTTGTCTGCGATACTACGGCGGACAAGCTGTCCTCCCGTGCCGTTCCCTGTGTCTTCCTTGGCTTCCCTCCTGACGCACCCGGGTGGCAGTTCTACCACCCCACCTCGCGTCGTGTTCTGTCCTCTCAGGACGTCACGTTCGACGAGTCGGTGTCGTACTACTGTCTCTTTCCCTACCGCACTGCCTCCCCCCCCCCCCCCCCCCCCGCCGCTCTTCCTGGCACCAGGTACTCCCCCGGTAGACCCCCTCCCCCCCCAGGGTCCTGCCCCCTCAGGTGTGTCCCAGGTAGACCCTGCCGAGCCGGTCGAGGTAGCTGTCGACTCAGGTGCTGCTCGGGGTGCTGACCCTGCGGGTGCTGAGACTGGGGGTGCTGAGTCTGGGGGTGCTGAGACTGGGGGTGCTGAGTCTGGGGGTGCTGAGCCTGGGGGTGTGGCGCCTGAGGGTACTGTGTCTGGAGGCGCTGAGCCTGCGCGTGCTGAGTCTGGAGGTGCTCTAGGTGTCCCGTCGCGGCGGGAGCCCCTCTCTCCGCAGCGGCTTCATGAGTGGTACTCTCGGCGCTGTCGAGTTGCTGCTGGTGCGGGTGCTGGTACTACTGGAGCTACTGGAGGTGTTGGTGCTGCTGGAGGTGCTAGAGGTGCTACTGGAGCTACTGGAGGTGCTGGCGCTGCTGGAGGTGGTGCTGGTGCTGGAGCTGCTGGAGTTGCTACAGGTGCTGGCGCTGCTGGAGGTGCTACTGGTGCTGGAGCTGCTGGAGGTGCTGCTGGTGCTGGAGCTGCTAGAGGTGCTGGAGGTGCTCCTGGAGCCATTGGAGGTGCTGGCGCTACTGGAGGTGGTGCTGGTGCTGGAGCTGCTGGAGGTGCTACTAGTGCTGGAGCTGCTGGAGGTGCTGGAGGTGCTACTGGAGCTACTAGAGGTGCTGGCGCTGCTGGAGGTGCTGCTGGTGCTGGAGCTGCTGGAGGTGCTGCTGGTGCTGGAGCTGCTGGAGGTGCTGGGGGTGCTCCTGGAGCCACTGGAGGTGCTGGCGCTGCTGGAGGTGGTGCTGGTGCTGGAGCTGCTGGAGGTGCTGCTCGGACTGGAGACCCTGGGGCTGAGGGTACCGGTTTTGTCTCTGCTGTTTCTGGAGGCGCTGCGCGGCCGCGGCCGTACTACGTTCCGCTTCTTCAGCAGGTTCTTGGCTCCCCGCCTTCTCCTGGTCCTCCACCT